CCCCCCACCCCTCTGCGACTCGGCGTTGGGCCGTGACTGAGCGGATCGCCAGCATGTGTACGCGGACACGGTCCTCCTCTTCCACGACGCCTTTGGGGGCGACCGCATCGGGGCCGTCTGGCAGCCTGCCCTGCGGAGCGCGCGGCCGTTCCGCGCGCTCGGTGGCTTCTCTAGCACGCCGACACACAAGGTGGGCATATGCGCGCTCTCCGCCCAGGTTCATGCGCTCACACTACCGGCGTATCTGCTCCAGGATGCGGCGAAGGGGAAGGACAAGGACAAGGGGCTGGTGGTCCTCAACGAGCGTGCGCTCTTTGCCGAAGTGCAGCGGCTGGGCAGCACCCTCGTTGCGGGGATCGCACCCCAGGGCACATCGTAGCACACCTGTCGTGTTTTCGTGGTGAAAGCGGCAAGAATCATGCGTCTGACGTGGTACCTCATCTACCCTGCGACAGTGCCTGCCATGATGCGATGTATGTATGCGACTGCCCGGATGCCCACCGTCGGATTTCACTTTCTCTCGATATACGGACGCATGAGCACGCATCGGAAGCTTCAGCCGAGCCAGTGCAGAAGGAGCACAATGCAAACCCACAAGCCCTGCCCATGCCTCGGGCATTCCAAAGCTCCCCCGCTACGGAGTGCCGAACGAACTTAGGAGATGTGTCCCAGCTCGGTCCGACAGCGCCTGCCACGGCGCAATGTATGCGCCCGTCGGGACGCCCACCGTTGAGACTCGGTACACACGGCATGCGCACAGTCCAGCCCAGTCCAGCGCGCGGAAAACAGTACATACAGCGCGCCCTACACGCGCACAAGCACGCCCATATACACGATCTGGCTCACCGCGACGAGGAAGAGGAACGTGATGCGCCGCGAGCGCTGCGACGGGTTCACCGCCGCGGCCGTCGCGGACGCGTCCGGCAGCACCATCGAGCGCAGCGACCTCAACTGTACGTGTACGCGGGTGCGTGGTAAGTGGTCAGTGTGAAGAGAGGGGGTGCGCGAGGAAGGAGGGGACGTACGAGGAAGAAGGCGGTGGCGAGGAAGGTGTAGAGGAAGATGAGGAGGTAGAGCGTGCGGCCGACGCCGAGGAGCCCTGCGATGAGCGTCACGATCACGCTGTGTGCGCGGTCCGTTAGATGTGCTGCGGGTATATAGAGAGGGAGGAGGGAAGGGGAGGGAGGTGCGTACCCGACGAACTTGTACCCGTCGTATGCGAGGACGTCGAGTACTTGGCTCGAGAGCCCGCCCTATACGCGCCATCATGAGTAACATGCGTATAAGAGCGAGGGATTGCGCATACGGGGATATTGAGGAGGTAACACCCAGACTTGACGAACAGGAAGTCAAGCAGCACGACCGCTAACGCTTTCGACGCGGTGATGCCGAGAATCTCGGGGTGGAAGCGGGCGTTGAGGCCCGAGTGCAGCGCGGCGAGCAGGATGTACGTCACGATCGCCATCACTGCAGGTACCCCAGTCAGCGCGCGCGCATACAAGAGGACAGGGAGGACGGACGGGGAATGTACAGGTCGGGCGAGTTGAGGTCCTCGCGCGGGGCGGCCCACTCCGACTGGCCGTTCTCGAGGCGCACGACTTGGCGGGACCACGGCCGGTGCCGCCACGGAAAGAGCAGAAGACGCAGTTTCCGAATCACGAAGGAGTTGGAGACGTTGAAATGGTGCTTGAGGTTCGAGATGGGGATGAACCCCCCAAGCTGCGCGCCGCATCAGCACAACCCTTACGCACACAGAAAGCACAACGCAAGACGCACATTCTTCTGCACATAGTCCGAGCCCGCCGCAACCGCACTTTGCCCAAGCTGCATGCCAAAGGCAGCGGTAGCATTGTCCAGGCCCCAAGCGGAGAAGTCGACCGGACCGTTCGGGCCCATAGCAGACGGATGCCCCTGCGACGGCGCGCCCAGCGGCTGGTGGTACACGGGTGCGGCGCCATACGGCGGGGCCATATGGGACGGATGGGGCGCCTGGCTGGGCATCTGCTGAGCGTATGGCTGGGAGGGGGGCGTGGAGGTGTAGCGTTGGTAGCCCTGGGGAGACATCGGCGTCGAGGGGGGCTCTGGGATGTATGCGGGGTGAGTGGGGACGGGGTGCTGGAGCGGGGGCGGGCTGTGGCTGTTTGTGTTGTAGTACGCCATCGTGCTGTAGTGGACGTGGAGGGCGAGCGAGAACGCACAGTGCGAGACCGAGCCTGGCGGTGATGGACGTGGTCGTCACGTGCCCTTCCCCGCCCGCGTAGACGTGTAGACGCCGAGTCGCCGCTGTTGTTCGTGCTACACGCTCATGGGCAGTCTTTCTGAGATGCTCTCTGCGCATCGGGAGACTGATAGAATTGGTGCATTTGGTCCTCGACACTGAGAATGCGTTGCTCGCAGATGCCCGGAGCTCGAGGCTGCATGTACATTCACCGCGCGACGGCCTTCAACTCAAACGGTGCAGTGACGCTGATGTTCTTTGCTATGTAGAATGACAGCTGTCCACTGGATTCTTTAGGTATCTGACCGACCGGAGGGTTCCTTTCGTCTACATCGTCCTTGCAGCCATTGCGGATGCGTCATGCTTCCCGCTCAACTGCGGCATCCAATTCTCTTCGCCGTCTACGTACCCTACAGCTTCCCTCCAAGAATTGCAACACGCGCTGTTGCACCGCCCTGGCCGTCACAGGATACGCATTAAGTACGTCGTTTTACTAGTCTAACAAGTCTTACGCAGCTCACTCACTTCTTCCATCCCTGAATAAAGAAAACAATGTGCATACTGAGTGTGGAGTATTCATGTTGAACTGTCAAACGAAGATGCGGTCATCTCTCTGAACGTTGGTTACCAAGGTCATACAGCAGGTCCGCAGACGAAGCTTACCGCTGCCCTCATGAACCTCCTCATGACCAGTGGCCAGACCTTCATCTACATTTCCCACTCCTTCCTGAGGCATGAGTACCAGCAACGTCCTCCCCCATCCCTCCCTGCCCTTCCTAACCCCAGAGCAGCCTCCTGTCAACAGCCACCAAAGCATTCAAACTGAGTTCTTCCCCTCGGTGCCCGCTTCTTACTCGGTGCCCGCTTCTGCCTCGGTGGACGCTTCTCCCTTGGTGCCCGCTCTTTCCTCGGAACCCGTTCTTTCAGTCCATCCGATCTCCTTCACCCAAATTTTCACTACGTCGGTTTCCGGAAGCATCGCGCCCACAAGTCCCATATCCTCACTTCCAACCTCGTTCACTACCAACCTGCCCCAAACCATCCAGCCTGCCCCTGCCGAAGCCCCACCAAAGCACCCGGAACCCCCGATCAGCGTCATCGTCCCCATCGTCGTAGTGCTCGGTCTCGCGGTCGCAGCCGCGGCGCTATTCCTGACCATACGTGCACGCTTGCGTCGGAGACGCCGCCAAGTCACCCAAGACGTCGGCCATGTTTCATATGGCGACCCACAGGGAGACCACGACTCGGCCGTGCGTGACAGCATTATGGCGGAGCGCGACACATCGCGCATTCCATCTCTCGCCGTCAGTGTCGTTGGGGGATGGCGTTCCGCTGGAGCTGAAGGGGGCGGCAGCGTATCCGGACCAGACGACAGCCCGCGCACTCGACGCCATAATGGATTCCCCGACCTGCGCGTTTCCTCGCCGCGCTCGAAAGCCTCGCAGAGGGACCCAACCAACGCACCCTCGGGCTCTCCTGTCTCCTTCGGAGAGCCGCTCGAGACGCAGGCTCAGCCTCCGCGCAGAGAGACGTCCACGGAGGATCCGGACACGGTCCTCCTCCGCCTCCCTACCGACTTCGCCCGCGGCCTCATGGCGCTCGTAGCGGGGGCGAACGTGCGCGGGGTCCGGTACGCGGGCGGGTCGGAGGACGGGCAGGGCTCGGAAGATCTGCCCGCGTACGAGTCCGAGCCTTCGGCTTCCGAGGTGGACAGGGCTCGATCCGCTTCTTGAGCTTCGTTGCTCTTCGGACGACGGGTCGTGGCGGTCTCCAGGTCGAGCAGGACACCCCGCTTCCCGTTTCGTCCATCCGTTCCATACATAGGTATTTCCTCTTTGCCTCTCTACAAGTGCGTGTATTGCTATAACGGTGACCCTCTTCGCAGTGCCCGGCCTTCGTGCTACCATGATCAATGATATCTATCTGCCCGACACAGATTGCATCTAATGCCAACCGCTTGGGTATGCCGGACTTTCTGCAGCACAAGGTCACTCGAGCAGAGCATCACACTTACAGCCCCGGCCTTCTTCTCGTTGTCGCCCCATTCTGTTTATTCTCAAGCTAGGCCCATCGGACATTACTGCGGGAGAAGCAGTGTATCATGAAATGGAACGATGATCTTCTGCCGTCAAACTTGCTCAATATACACAATGGCAGGTGAGCGGTGATGAGTACAGCCCTTTGGAAGATACGCGCTCAGGTGCCCTCTTGCTACGGATGCTTGAGTGCAGTCAACAGCCGATGCGTAGTAAGTACTATACAATCAGCCCCCGCATCAGTTCATCCTCATTTCCTCTGGATAGAGTTCTTTCACTGCAAAATTCAACAGTTGCATCAACCCCGTTCGACAGGCCTGTCACCGGTCATATAGAACGCACTCCAAGTACTGTGTGCTGGGCCCCTCGATGTACCCCGACCTATGCTCACCCCTCATACACATCTTCCCCGTGCCTTTTCATGTCCTCAACTCTTTCGTCTCATTGACCGTCTCCGACGTTCCCATCGGATCTATCCCACCGTCCAACGAAGTCACACCGGCGAGTGATTCACATTACCCAACCCCTCACCGTCTCGCAGACAAAGTAAGAACCATTTCCTGGGTCCACACGGGCTCCCGACCGGCAGGCAACACTCTGATTCGTTCACACAGGCTACCGTCATGCCACCTAGCTCCATTGAGGCCGCTTTGGCGTTGACTGCCCTCCCTGACACTTCGGCGACTACCGTAAATGCCTCCAGTGACGTTCAATCCGGGCTACAGGATGGCCCGATTGCCGCTATCGCAGTCGTGGTCGCTTTATTGATCCTGGGTACGATACTGCTTTAGCACTGTGTGTGCTCCCGCGTTCCTCTCGGGATGCGGACCACGTTCAATACTCCGAGGTACACAGATCCGAGACCGGTGATTCTTCTTGACTCTTCTTGCTACAGGGAATGTGCCGGGAGTGGCTGTCAATGTGCGCACATTATACCAACGCTACTGATTGCTCACGAATACTCCAGCTTGGCTTTCCGCGCGCGGCACGCCAATTCCCGTGTATGAACACTGGCGTCGCTCTCTCGAACTCAAGGCCGCTAGTGCTCCTACATGCAAGTTCAACTTAGCAACTGCCCCGTTCCACTGAAGGCTCAACTTCGATCGTTTTGTCTGAGGCCAACGTTCACGCTATGCGCGCGCCGAGTCGGACGCTGTCGTCTCGATCGTGCTCAATGAAGCTCTCCTCTCGGGCTGAAGCTTGCAACGCCCTCGGCGGCGGCGTATGCTCACAGCGGCAATAACGACAGCTCGGATGATGTATCGACCCAAAGATCGAGGTCTGGTGCATGCCGAGGTATCATCGCACATTGATTATTGCAGAGCCATGCACGACAAGTCTCCGACTTACCAGCGGGTTTGTTTTGCTGACGCCGCCCTTGCGGCGGCGGCGGTGCGCTACGCTGCTCACCTCCGCCCATTCCGGAACCGTACAGCTCCGGATCCTTGTGGCCGTATCCCCCGGGCTGTGCCTACAAGCGGCGTGGAGCTCTTGAAGCACCGTCTTCGAATACTCAGTACGTTCGCCCCCTATCGTCGGACGTTCCACTGCAGCTAGCTCATGTCCATGAATAATTCCTTCCCAGGATACCCTCCATGGCAGGGTGGTCATAACCATAACGAACCGCCAGAAAGCAGTGCGGTCGTCAACGACGCCATCCATATTCAGCCCTGGACACCGCAGAAGGCAACGACGATCATATCCGAGTTCCCGTGCACTGTTGCGCGCGGGCCAAACCTAGCAGTCATTTCATCTTAAGCTTGTGCTATGGCGTCTTCACTGAGGTGCATGTAGCGATATGATTTCCATTCGTCTGATTGTGCTCACCTCTTCTGAGCAGGTGCATACGATACACAGGTAAAGTATTCTGATGGCATCGAGTGCACTCGCTATAAAATATTGACTGGACCTCTCATTCACTATCCCGACAGACTTCTACTGATACCTACGTCGCCGCCGTGCTCGTGCACCCCTTCGCTGCCTTTCGCGCTCGTGTCATCCTTACCTTATCCCTGCTGCCAGTCGCTCCGAATTGACGATGGCGGATTGTGATTCGGGTTGGGGACTGTGTGCTCAAACATCCGCCTCCGATTCCTCTGTGAGTATCACTCCCAGCATCTCAATGCTTCTGACTGATAGTCAGCGCTTTGAGACATCCACATCGAATGCAAGCTCTCTCCGCACGTCCACTAATCGTCCCACAAACACGCCTGGTCTCACAAGCGCCTTCAGCCCCACAAACACGCTCAGCCCCGGTAGTTCGGTGGAGTCATCAAGCTTCAGCACCAGCCTGCTTACTCCACCTGCGCTTCAACGTCCAGGCTCGAGCCTCACTACTCCGTTTGTCGCTGAATCCACTTCTGCGACTCCCGGGTCAGTGACCACCGAAAACTCTACTAGCAGCGTCACCCTCGCTTCGGCCACAACCCCGAGCTCGTCCCAAGGGTCTGCCATTGGATCATCGTCTTCTACCTTCGCCTCCACTGCGGCTCCGTCGACCAGAGTCACATCGGGTTCCTTGTTAGTTTCTTTTCCTTCCGCTTATTGATATGCTTAAGTTCAGCGGGTAGTCCTACCTGATTTGAGGTCAGATGTTAAAAAGTTGTCCTAATGGACGGTTAGAAGCTCGCCAAAACACTTCACGGTCACAGCGTAGACAATTATCACACTGAGAGCCGATCCGTACGGAATCGAGCTAATGCATTCAAGAGGAGCCGACCGCAAGGGCCAGCAAGCCTCCAAGTCCAAGCTTATAGATCACAAGGATTTATAAGTTGAGAATTCCATGACACTCAAACAGGCATGCTCCTCGGAATACCAAGGAGCGCAAGGTGCGTTCAAAGATTCGATGATTCACTGAATTCTGCAATTCACATTACTTATCGCATTTCGCTGCGTTCTTCATCGATGCGAGAGCCAAGAGATCCGTTGCTAAAAGTTGTATTATAGATGCGTTAGACGCGTTTACATTCTGATACTTTAAAGTGTTTGTAGTATACATAGGCCGGCAGAATGCTCCGTTAAGG